GGTCCTTCAGCGGTGTCTGGTGACAGTTGGGGTTCACACGTCTGTGGGAAAGCTGAAGAATTTGCCAGTCAAGGGAATATGTGCTCCCCTGATGCCTGGTGTGGAGCCCCTCATGGATCCCCACTCCGGTGGGTGGTTTCTGCGACACCCACCTTGTCTTCCTCTCTGAACCTCCCCACCTCACCCCTACCTTCCTCTCCCCACCAGTGACTCACACACCCGCTCCCTCATCTCTCAAGCATTTGTGCGCCACCTGCCACACTCTTGGCAGTTATGTCCGGGGCCTCTTATAAGGAAAGACGACCATCGCCGTCCCCACGTTACAGATGGCAAAACTGAGGCTTGCAAGGTTCCATAACGTGCCCAGCCCATGTTCCTAAGAGCAGAGGGCAAAGTCAAGCCTAAACTCCCCTGAGTCAGAAGCTCCAGTGCTTTCTTCGATGCCACACTCCTCGGGCAGGTCAGGTGTGGGCCCTGCTGTACAGGGCATTTGGTCCATCCCCCTGCCTCTGAGGCGACCCGGACAGGGCTGGGCTCACTCACTTCCCCGCCAGGCCAGCGGCCGCAGGTGGATGGGGCGGACGGAGCCGTGGGCTGAGCGTGTCCAGGGGGTCCAGGAGGGAGCATTTCAGGGGTAATGAGCGTCGCTGTTACCGTTATCGAGGCTGCGTACAGCGCGCTGGATTTGCAAGCCGAGGTGCTGGCCAGCCGCCTCGTCCACCCGCCTGGGAGGCAGGGAGACCGAAGCTGCAACTGGGGTGGAGGGAAGCGGGTTTCCCTGGTAGGAAAGGCAGTGGGCGGAACTGTTACTTTAAATAATGCTGCCAACCAGCCAGAAATAGGTCTCCCTGGCGGGGAGGAGAGGGAGGCTGGAGGCTGGAGGATGGAGAGGAGGCTGCACCCCACTCCTGTTAGGCCAGTGAGCCCCTGGCCTCAACTCCAACCAGGCAGGGCCAATGCGCCTCTTCTGGCCTTGGGGGAGCGACAGGCCTGCAGCCAGTTGCCCTTGCCCCCGGGGTGTTGGGGGGGAGCGGGGAATTCCTGGCTGAAGCAGACAGACGTAGAGCCTTCTGCAGAAATCTACTTTTATGAAAGTTTAAATTTCACTACGCATCACTGACATCAGCAAACAAACCCGCATCCAAGGAGTCCCTGGTGTCTGTTTTATAATATATACTTAAATTATATGCTCAAAGTGCATTTTTACATTTTACTTTAAAAATAAAAGCTATATATGCATACGACGAAAGAACTTCTGATGCCATAGAAAGACATAAAATCAAAAAGAAGACGTTTCCCTCCCTCCCCACCCAGCACCTCTCCCCAAAAAGGGAGATAACAGGTATCCATCGAGTATCCGCCTGGAAAACAGTTTATGTGTGTGGAGCATGTGTATGCAAATATATACATCTTAGGCACCTGTGTCATCTGCAAATATATGCATTTTTGTACCTGTGATCATGCATATGCAAATACATACAAATGTACATACTATTTCATTTACCCATGTGGTATCATGCCCTTTACACTACTCTTTTCCCCTTTTTTTGGTCCACAAACTGAAATTATTTTTATTGGGTCAAGTTCGCGTGATCCTAAACATTAAACTAAGGGTTTGGTAGCCTGTGTCAACACACAGCAGCTCATGGAGAGCCGTAGCCATCCGTTGTCACTCTGGTCCGTGACGCTCAGCTCGTGGTACTGTTGGCTTCTTCCTTCCTCGCGTGGTTATTTCAATAAACATCTCTCCCTCTCCAGCCTGGACTTCCTTTCCATGCTTTGTGCATCTCGGGGACCATCCTTTCTCATACAGGTGTTCCTCATTCATTCTGCGGCTGCAGCATCGGCGACCGATCCAGTTGCATTCTTGACGGACATTTAGGTTGCTTCTGGCTGGGTGTTTATCTCTGCCATTCGAAGCAATGCTGCTGTGAGCATCCTTACACCTGGTTTTTCTTTTTGCCACATTTTTGCAGTATATCTAAGAGGCCAGCTCGCAGGAGCGCAGCCTCTCGGTCAAAAGGCTTGCCTCTTCTCATTTGGATAGATTTTGTCCCCAAGGCTGGACCACTCTGCACTTCCACCTGCTGATCGAGGGTACACCTCCCCTCCCCCTCACTCTGGCCAGCGCTGCGTGTGATCAAACATGTCTTTGGCAGTCTGATATGTGAACACTGTCTTGTTTTGATTGGACTTTCATTGTGACGGAGGTTGAGCATCCTTTTTGTTAGTTTTTTTGGGGGCCGTTTCTGTTCATTTTCCTCTCCCTGGAGCTTTTTAATAAAATCTGATTCCATTTTCAAAGATAGAGAGCTGTTCTAGCCAATCTCGCTTTCCATCTCTCCTCTCAGGTCACCCCGTCGTTTTCGAGACCCAAACAGTTCCCCACAAAGCTATCTCCCCTCCCCGCGGCAGAGGCCAGCGAGAGTGGTAACGGGCTTGAGGATGGAGTGGAAGGAGAATGGGAAATTTGCCAGAGCCTGGGCGCCTGCTATCTCCCCACCATCACACCGTGCACAGTAACGAGGGACAGATAAGAACTGCAGCCGGTGGCAGAGATAAGAGGCTTGGACGGCCAGAAGGTTCTGAATCATGCTGCAGAGCCACAGCCAGAGCCAGAGCATCCGGGAGTCTGGGGCTCGCACAGTCCCAGGATGGAAAGGGGGCCTTTGGGAATATGACGTCTGTGTTGAACTGGTTAGCAGCTGAGCTTGGGGTCGGGCAGGCTCTGTGGGACCCTGGCCCTGCCTCTTACCACCTGTGAGACTGCCTGTCAGTGATGAAACATTTCTCTTTTTTAATATTTTATTTATTTATTCATAGAGACACACACAGAGAGAGAGAGAGAGAGAGAGAGAGAGAGAGAGGCAGAGACACAGGCAGAGGGAGAAACAGGCTCCATGCAGGGAGCCCGACGTTGGACTCGATCCCGGGTCTCCAGGATCACACCCCAGGCTGCCAGTGGTGCTAAACCGCTGCGCCACAGGGGCTGCCCGATGAAACATTTCTGAACCTCAGTCTCCCCTCTTCTAAAATGGGGGGCCTGATAAAAATACCCCCTCCAAGGATTAGGTGAAGCACTCTCAGAGGTAACCCCACAGCTCTTTGCCCTTGTTCACATATGACCAGGAAAGTGAAGCTAGTATAGGGGATTTGCATAAGATTTAAGTTTAAAATTTGTTAAAATTGCTTTTATCCTGAGATTACATTTCTTCTCTATGACCTTAAAATGTCCTTTTTTGATAAAATGAGGACCATTTCTACTTATTTTTCTCTCCCTGCCTGGCACTTTTTAATATTATCTTTTTTTTTTTTTAAAGTTTCTGGTTGCTAGATTGTTTGTCTGTTTGCTTTTTGGCTGGTTGGTTTGAATGATCTTACTTGGCAAAGTAAAAAGTTGATGGTCTTATGGTAAGCCCATTTTTTTAAGTGTTACTGCTCCATAATATCCAACAGTCTGGGAACTGCTGCATGAAATGAAAAAATGTAGGAAAAGTACTTAATACCATGTTTACATGGATAGTTGGGGCTCAGAAAGTGGTGGTGGTTGTTTCACTGTTGTGAGATGGTGATGGTGGTGATTGATGGTGGTGGTGGTGGTGGTAGTGATGATAGTGGTGGTGGTAATGGTAGAGGTGGTGATGGTGATGATAATGGTGGGTGGTACTGGCAGCGGCGGTGATGGTGGTAATGGTGATGGTGGTGGTGGTGCCGGTGATGGTAGAGGTGGTGATAGTAGTGATGCTGGTGGTGGTGGTGGTGGTAGTGATGGTGCTGGCGGTGGTGGTGATGGTGGTAGTGATGGTGCTGGTGATGGTGGTAGTGATGGTGCTGGTGATGGTGGTGGTGGTGGTGCTGATGGTGGTAGTGATGGTGGTAGTGATGGTGGTAGTGATGGTGCTGATGATGGGGGTGATGGTGGTGGTAAGCCCCAGTTGGAACTCGTGTAAAAGAAAACTTAGCAACTCTTGAGAATAACGTTGCTCTGTCCCAGGGTTGGCAAAGTTAGGGGCAGATGGCAATGAACTTACCCACCCAGTCACCTGGGCAAACCAACACCCAAGGATGGGGTAGATGTCCTAGGCACCAGCCCCTTGATCCTTTGAGGTCCCTGTGGGCCATTCATTGCCCAGGGATGGGAAAGGTGATCACAGAGGGGTGCCAGGGGAACTAGCCCCCTCCATACCAGAGAACACCACCTGCCCATGTCTTACCTGCCAGAAGCTCCTCCCACGGACCTGGCCTGGCCTCCACCCCCCCCCCCCGCCCCGCCTCAGCCAGGTCAGTGCACCACACATCTGCTCTCCAGGTACCTTTCCCCCAACCCCAGACTCTGCTGCTCTTTGGGCCAGTCACGTGCTCCTAGGGCAGGCTCCCTGGAGTCTACCTCCAGCTTGTGCATCCCGGTCTCAGCGCCCACACCTACAGAAAGCCAACCTGTCCTGCTCGGAAGGCTCTCCCCTTTCCCTCCACAAACCTGCAGTGGAGTTGTCTGTAACTTTAAGGGTGGGATAATGCAAAGCAGTTGGAGAAGTGTGTGAACGTCCCTGCCTCTGTCACCCCCATCCATTTCAATTAATATTTATAGGACAGTCCTGGGCCTAGCCAAAATAGAATGCCCCCACCTTTCCCAGTCATGCAAGTCACAGGCAAGGGAGGGCAGCAGCCTCCAGCATAGGACCAGCCTAGGACCTCAGTCCTGGGAGGCCTGGTCGCCGCCAGGGTCAAGGGCTCAGGCATAGCACCTCCTGTCCATGGGAAAGTGCAGGCTACTACTCCCTAGTACCTGAGCAAAAAAGCCTGGTTGCCCTTGGGAGGGACTTTTCTGTTGATAAGGACCTTCTTGTGACACCAAGACCTGGCCAAGAGAATCCAGAAGTCCCCGGTGCGCTCCATTCAGGAAGAGGATGACCTGGCACCTCCAACCTCTGACCCCAGTCTGACATGTGCATCCCTGCACCCGCCCGACTTGCTCACTGGCTGTCTCATCTGCCTCCCAGGTACATGATCACCAGCCTGGACCGCACCCATGCAGGCTTCTACCGCTGCATCGTGCGTAACCGGATGGGCGCTCTGCTGCAGCGGCAAACCGAGGTCCAGGTGGCCTGTGAGTACAACGGGTGACTTGGGGGCAGGGAGGGGTGTGAAGCGGGAGAGGATCTGCAGGGTCCTCACCCACCACCATGCTCTGGGCAGAGCCAAATCCCAGCTGTAGCCTTCTCTGTTCATTGGGTGCCTCTCTGGGGAGTGTCCTCGTTTTATGGTTGACAGGTGCTCTCGGGGCTACAGCACTGATAAGGGACACAGACATCTATCTGTCGGCTCAGCGTTCAACCCGCTTTTCATGGGACCAGCTGCTTCTCTTTTTAAAGGGGGCCCTCATCACTTGGTTCAAGGGCCTCCTCTGGGGTTGGCTGGGCCTCACACTTGCCGTTTTCACGATGGCCTCCCTGAACCTCTCCAGCTATGACACTCTTCTCTGCAGACTTCCTGGTACCCTCCATGACCTTGACCTTCCTATCCCCCAGCTTGTTCAGCCCAGGAGCACCAACAGCAACTGGGTCCCATGATCCTCGGGGTCATTGGGAGATGCCTTGTGCTGGCCCCATGACCCTTAGAAGATGGGGGGCAGACAGACAAATCCAGGTTCCTGGAGGAGCCAGGTGAGCCTACAGTAAAGTGGTAGTAGGCCCCTGCAAGTCCCCGGAAGGACTTTCTCAAATGGAAGAAGGGAAGGCAGCTTCAGGAGATCCCAAGTGTGTCTCAGGGACCAGGGCCCCAGAGCACCAGTCAGCACCCTGCCCCTGACGCTCAGCATCCCCCTCCCAGGCCTGCTCCCCATCCTAAAATAGCTGCTGTGTGTTAGAAATGAGTCTCATTATGGGCTATTTCATTCTGGGTTCTTCCAGGGGCAGAGGTCCAAGGTTGCACAGTGGGACATGGGAGTGTGGAAAGCTTTAGTGAGCCTTGAAATTTAAAAAAAAAAAAAAAAACACCTTCTCATCTAAAGCCTACAGGGGCTCGCCTCTGAATTAGCTCAGGAGAGAGCTTGCTACTTGAACAGAAGTAGGGGAGAGACATCTAAAAGGAAACCTCAAGCGAGGCAAAGAGTGTTGATAATAATTATGGAAAACAACCGTAATCAAAAGTGGAGGACGGATTGTCTCCATAAATCAGCACTAAAGGCAACTCAGCTCACTCAGAGGAGCGGAAAAGCCCTGAATTAAAATGATGGATCAGGGCACTGTCAGCGGCTGGAGAGCTCCCGGGGAGCTTCATTTAGCCAGTGCCCAGCGCCCCGCAGGGCAGGGGCAGAGCCATCAGCCAGCCTCCAGAGAGACGGCGCGTGCATGCGTATGCCCGGCTGCATGCAAGTGTGTGTGCGTGAGTGTGGGTTCACGCACGTGTGTGCAAATGGGTGGGTGCACATTAGTCTGCTTTGTCCCACGCGTTTGGGAGAGAACATGTGTGTGCACATGTGTGCATAGACATGCATCCATATACGCGTGTGCATGTGTGCATGCAAATGTGCATGCCGAGGTTGGTCTGCCTCTTTGCTCACCTAGGTGCTGGTGATCACATAGGTGTGCATGTCTGTGTGCGAGTAGTTTGAAATGCCATCCAGGACACAATGTCCCCGATAGTCTAGGCTCCTCCAGAGAATTCCTTGAGCTCATGTGCCTGCAAATAATACACCTCCAGTCAGTGAGAGTTACTGCTGCAATTAATATTCTGTAGTATCGTGTTAAGGAAAAAAGAAACAGGCCACCGAATGGAATGGCTTCTGGCACACACACCGTCTGGCCAAACGCAGAGCAGTGAGCTGGCACTTGCACCTGTGCCCTGCATCAGCCCATCGTCGGCCCCTCAGCTGCCTCTCCCGGGGGCATCCGTGTGCTCTCAAAGCCACCATGTGTCACCCTGGGTTTCAGGGGCCCTCGGGACACGGTTACAACCATCGTCGCCACCAGGCTGCACGGGGCTACTGCTTAGCTGTGCCCGTGTGGCTACAAGCCATCCCTGGAAGAGAGCAGGGGGTACCTGGAAGGGCCCGAGGGACTGGAACGGAGTGGGGAAACCCAGGTTCACCCCCTTCCTGACCACCAGCTGCAGCTCCTGGACCAAGCCCTGGGAATCACTCCTCAGATGTACCGAGCTGCCTTGTTCCATAGCATCATCAAGTGGAAGCCCCTATTTGCAGCCCTTTGCACCTAAAGCCAGAGGAGTTAGGGGAGCCCTGGGAACTCCACCCGGCCGTTGAGGAAAACACTCATCCCAACAATTTAATGAAGATTTCACCCAACCCTAGTGGCCTAGGATGGAGAAAGGAAACTCACCTCCCTGTTCCTTCCCTTGCTGGCCACATTTGTCTCATCGGCAGTGGGGCAGGGGTGGCGGGGAGAGTCTCACTCTCTAGTTATGGATGTTGAAGAATTTGCTGTCCAACCTGTTACCCATCCCCCAAAACTCCTTCCAGGATCCTTGGGTGTGGGGATAGGTGAGACCTGGCCAAACCACCCCCACCCACAACCTCGCTCTTTCCCATCTGTTGCTGTGCTGGGCGGTGCACACCATTCTCTCCTGTCCTTATCCTGCAAGGCTGGTGGGGACGGGGGCGAGGGTGGGGATGGGGTGTGAGGTGACCGCCTAAGCCACATGAGGAAGTACCAGAGCAGGGCTTGAACCCACCACGGCCCAGATTCCAAAACACCCCCACTCACCACACTGCCCTCTAAGGTCAGGACGAGGTGAATCAAAATGAGAAGGGGCTGGGGAGGCAGGGGGATCCCCTGCTGAGGTCAGCACTCACATGGAACCACGGGGTGCCCTGCACTGTAATATCCATGTCCAGACAGCGCCGCAAATGGATGCTGCGTCCAGCTGGGATGAACGTCATCTCACACCACGGGGTGCGGGTCATGCCCTCTTCTCGGCCGTCAGCAGAAACGAGCAGATGAAAATGCTCACAAGCAGCTCCTGGGTTCTCTGGAGCCTAAAACATGCCCATGCCAAGGGGAGGGGGGTCGGAAAGTGTGGTGTCCAGCCCCAGCACTGAGTAGCTTGGGAGCCTGGGGGCCTAGTGTGTGTGTGTGTGTGTGTGTGTGTGTGTGTGTGTGTGTGTGTGTGCAGGGGGCGGGACAGAGGGAGAAGCATAGCCTCCGTCCCCCTGGAAAGGGGAGCATGTGCCCCAGGACGCTTGGAAGAGACAGAGATCTGAGCCCACATGCCTCAGCAGATGCTAAAGGAGATAACAGCCGAGCTTCCAGAAGGATCCCTGCTCCCTCGTAATGTGTGCGTGCGCTTCCTCCATGGGTCTGAGAGGCAGGAAGGCGTGTGGTATGAGCCACATCTAGAGATGGGGAAACTGAGGCTCGGAGAAGGCAGAGGGCAGCCCGAGGTGCACCGCCAGCACTTCTGCCCCCAGCCCTCTCCTGCCCCGCGGGTATACCCCTGACCCGCACCCCCGGCCCCCCTCTCCCTAGCTGCGTGACCTTCTCTGTACTTTTGCTGCCTCTTCCCTGCGTGTGCAAGTGAATGCTAACACGAGTGCCTACCTGGCCGGGCTGTCCCAGGAACCCAGATCATAAAGGGGCGCGGGCTTTCTTCGCTCCATGAGGCCCAGCAGGGAAGGCGCCCTGGGATGCACGGTCACCACCTCGCAGGCACGCTCCTGCCCCCCTGCCTCGCCCCAGGGCCCGGCTAGGGTAAGGCAGGTGAGGCACGGACGATGCAGAAGCGAAGGAGGTGCTCCCCCGGGTCCTCCCCCTGCACTCGCAGGACGGTAATGGTGCCTCCTTACACCGTCCGCCCTGCACCCTCCGGCTCCCCCAGCAGGGTGCCCCGCAGACCTCCTGCATCTGTCCGTCTGTCTGTCCACCCGTGTCTCCTATGCAGTCACCCAGCAGCCCACGGGTCTAAGGCTGGGTGGGCCGGGGCTGCTTCTCCCCAGACCCCTCTGTGTGTCTCCTGGCGGGTTTCTGCCCCCTGGGGGGGCTGAAGGCTTTGGTGCTGGGGCTCCAGGCAGCCAGGGCCTGGGGATGCTGCTCTTCCAGGCGCCTCCTGGGGCCAGGCCAGGCAGGACCCACCTCTGGCTCCCACCCCCACCCCCTCTTCCCAAAGAGGGACTATGAATTGGGTTCTAACGAGAAATTAATAAGGCAGCTGTGCTAACAACTAATGATAATGGCAAAGTCGTTACAAAAAGATTCTTTACATGTTTTTAATTACAGCAATTACAGGGAAGTCAATAAAACATCCACCCCCTCCCCAGCTCCCTTTCGGCCACACTCCCCGCAACCCCCCCCCCACACCCCACCATCACCACCCAGTCTCTTCTTTGTTTTCTTAAAGTTGCCATAAATTTCTGGCTTGCTGCAAGCCGGCTGAACGGCCGAGGGGGATCGGAGAGGCTCCCTGGGTCAAGGAGCCTTCTTGGCTTCCACATCCACATCCACATCCTGTGGGCACCTCTGTGTTCCCCTCACCTGGGCAACGTCCCCGACCACCACCACCACCGGAAGCCTGGCCTGCAGCCGCCTGTACAAGATGCGACATGCAGGCATCAAGCCTGTTGTCAAGGTTGATGCCCAGAATGCCGCCAACAGGCTGGCCCGTTTTTCTTGATTCTTAACCTGAGTGTAAGTGAGCATTGAATGTGGGATATGTAGGGGCCGTGCTGCAGTTCTAGAGAACATTATTGTGTCTTCCGGAGCCCCAACTCCGCCTGAATATGTAATTCGCTTGTGCAGCAACTGTTGCTGTGCACCCATGGCATGCCGAGCTCTGTTGCAGGCAGTGAGGACACAGGTGACAAAACTGGGACACACGTTCCTGCCCTCCGGAGAGTAGTAGGGTGCCATAAAAGTTAAAAGGTGAATATACGATAGGATACAGAACATAGAGGGCCTATGGGGAACAATACGTGTTATAAGGACAAATGAAGCCAAGTAAGAGGAATGGAGGCTGGAGCAGGGGTCCTATTTGATATAGTGGCTGAGAGAGGCCATCTGGGGGAGGTGACATTGAGTAGCAACTCAAAGGAAGCAAGAGAGTGAGTCACACAGATGGATAAGATCCTTCCAGCCAGGGAACAGCAAGTGCAAAGGC